ATTTTTTTATAAAAATAGTCTAATCACATTTTGGTATTAGATAAATATTGATCAATATTCTATTAAATATATTTAATCAATTACAAACTTACTATTATTTCAAAAAAAGCAAAACTAACTAATTAAAGAATTTCTTTAATTTTGCCTAACGTAATGTATTTTTGTTAACTTTTGAATTTTTTTTTTTAAAAAAAATTTTTTTCACATGAATTTTTTTTGCAATAGAAACTTCAATTTTAAATGAACAGGATTATGATGACATATATATTGTAGAATTATCACATAGTGTCTATGAACATTATAAACAAAGTGACTCTGAAGATAATGAAAATTATGACGTTCGATATGAAAACGCTTAAGATGAAATTCAAGATAATAGAGATAGTTATAATTATGGTCAAGAGCATAGTTCTGGTCGTGGTCGTGGTCATAGCTGTGGCTGTAGCTATGATCGTGGCCTTGGTCATAGTCATGGTCAAAATTATGAAACCAAAATTCATGTACAACTTCCTATTCCTCCTCCTTTTAATACATTTCAACATTCAAGACCCATGCATGGATTTATACTAAATGCTCTACTAGAAATAAAAATTTTTTATCATCACCATATTTAATTTTTAGTATGTTTTTTTCTTATGAACAAATAAATACAATCGTGCAGAATACCAATAAATACACTTGTTTAAAAGGTGCTGGAGAAGGACAAAAATGGGTAGAATTAACAGTGGGAGAATTTAAAATTTAGTTGGCAATATTGATATATGCTGATATTTTTAAATTTCCTAGTATTAGAGATTATTGGGTTATGAATAATAAATTTCTAGAATATAAGATAACAAATTTTATAATCATACTTTGTTTTGAACAAGTATATTTTTTTAAGTAAATATTGGATTTACCGTATCAAGTTTATTTACAATGAATTATTTAATTTTTTTTTAAATATAGATTAAATGGTTTATGCATATTTCAGATTATAGTATATCACTTTTATATTAGTTTTCTAAATTAGAACTATTGGCAAGTCATGTTCAAATGATATCTAAATCGATCTGTATTCCATCATCTAACATGTCAATCAATGAAATAATTACAAGATTTTCAGGTCGAAGCATGTATACAGTTAGAATTAAAAACAAGCCTACACTGGAAGGGTACAAAATTCTCTCCCTTTGTGATTCAGATTACACATATTCCTTTAGTTTTACTTTGCGCATTCATAATTATCTAGAAGTAAAACAAATTGCGAATCTGAATAAAGTTGGAAATGATGTTTAACATCTTGTTTCTCAATTATCTTTAAATAAATCTTTCAATATATATGTGGATAATTTTTTTTCATCTATTAACCTCTTTCGATATATGCACAATAATAATTTTGGTACGTGCAAAACAGTTAGAAAAAATAGTATGCATTTCCCTAAAATACTTAAAGTAGATAAAAAGTTAGATTGGAATACATTATCCGGAGTAGTAGTTGATGATATTCTTGCTGTTTTGTGGATAGGCAATAATCTAGTAACTATGCTGACTACTATTCACGAAATTACTAGAAATGAAAATAGAGTTGAAAGAGTTCGACGTTGACCTTGAGAAACTAGCACTAATGCTACAAAAGTACGTGTAGTTTTTGGAACTGCTAGTAAAAAAGCTTTGCCAATACCTTGTATAATTGATGACCACAACCACCACATGGGTGGAGTAGACATAGCTGATCAACTTCGTGGGTATTATGCCATCCAATTACCAGTAAGAAGAACTTGGATGCCCTTGTCTTTTTGGTTACTCGACACTTCTATTGTCAATTCTTACTTAATTTTTAAAAAAAATGGCAACGTTATTAATCATAAGAATTTTTGAATTTATCTAGTATGGGAATTAATTAATGCAGGTATGGAAGAAAATGATCGAACAAAAAAGCCAAATACGCGAAGTCGAGTAGAAGAATTAATACATCAATTTGAAAATATTGATGTTAATCTTCCAAAAATACAGTATGTGACGAGTAATTTTGAACTCTCCTTATTAAAGCTATCTCTGGATAGACATTTATCTGAATAGAGAAAAGAAAGAAGTAGCTGTATATGGTGCAAATATTTGGCAAAAAAAAA